TAATCTTTTGAAAGGAGAAAGTATGGTCACACACAGTTCCTATGTTATCATCTTTAAAAAAGTAGAAATCTCTAATTGATTTTCAGTTGTCCTCTGGGAAGATTTAATTTTTAATTACTTTACAATGTATCTACATAGTTAAGGAAAAAATATAAAACGTACCAATAAAAATCTCCCTCCTCCCCAACCTTCACCCTCCATTTCCAAGCCTCCTATCATTGTCTTATGTGTCTTCCCAGAGATTTTTAAAAAGTATCAACAAATATTTAATCATTTCCCCACCCCCATTCTCTACTAGTGACAACATACTACATCTTGATTTTTTCCTTTTAACAATGTACATCAGAAATATTTTTATATACAAATGTAAAGAGCTCTTTCATTTTTTTATAGTTGCATAGTATTCCTTTATGGATGTACCATTATTTATTTTACCAATTCCTCACTGACAAACATTTAGGTTGGTTCCAATGTGTTTTTACACAGATTGCTGTGACAGATTAACTTTGTAGATATGTTGCTGTACTCAAGTGCATGTTAAGATACAGTCCTGGAGTTAGATCTGAGGGTTCATGCATTAGTAATTTTGACAGGTACTTTTTTCTTTTTAAAAAATATATTTTATTGATTTTACACAGAGAGCAATGGAGAGGGACAGAGAGTTAGAAACGTCCATCGAACAGCTGCCTCTTGCACATCCCCCACTAGGGATGTGCCTGCAACCAAGGTACATGCCCTTGACCGGAATCGAACCCGGGACCGTTCAGTCCGCAGGCCGACGCTCTATCCTCTGAGCCAAACCAGTCCTGGCTTGATAGGTACTTTCTAATTGTCCTCCATATCAATATACAGCCCAATCAGAATATATGAAAATGGCCCATTTATTATCCTGTTTGCACGGTATTAAATCACGATGGCACCTTCTGTGAATCAAATATATCAGGGTTAAATGACTGCCAAGCATGTTCCAAGTCCCAGGTCCCTCTTTCCCCCCCTCCCCATACCCTACCCCAGAGAACCTCCCGCTGTCCCTCCCCTGTACCCCCAGCAGGTGGCAGGCCCCGGCCATCCTGGCCCCAGGCAATCAGGACTGAGCGAGTAGGCCCTAATCGCTTGCCAGGCCTAGGGACCCCACATATGCACAAATTTCGTGCACTGAGCCTTTATAAAATTGGGAGGTAACATTTGAGGACAATTTGATAGGCAGAGAAACTAAATCTGTGCCTATTTAAGCAGAGGTTTGTTTGCCTATAACCCTTTCTCTAGGCTGCCTCCTCTATTACCTGCTGGGAAGGTTGACTGGCTATGGGAGCACACTGACCACCAGAGGGCAGCTCCTGTGTTGTCTTCCCCCTGGAGGTCAGTGCACATCATAGCGACTGGTCGACCGGTTGTTCTGGTCATTTCAGTTGTAACAGTTGCTTAGACTTTTTTTTTTTTTTTTTAATTGATTTCGTACAGAGAGGGAGAGAGATAATTAGAAACATCGATGAGAGAGAGTCATCGATCAGCCGCCTCTTGCACACCCCCTACTGGGGATATGCCCGCAACCAAGGTACATGCTCTTGACCGGAATCGAATCTGGGACCTTTCAGTCCCCAGTCACCCTATCCATTGAGCCAAACCGGTTTCGGCTAGACTTTTATATATATATATTTTATTGATAAGGAAACTGATGGTTTGCCTGAGGTAAAGTAACTTGTGCTACAACTAATTTAAAGTATCAGCTAGAGTATGCATCCAGGACTGTCCAACTGCTGTTTCTCCTCTATTAGTGTTAATAAAGAAATGACCTAGAAACAAAACAATCCCCATAGATGGAAGATCTGTATTTGATGTCTTCATTCTAAAAGATTCTCACCTAGAATGAAACTGAAGTTCTTAGTATCTCAAGAAACAAATTGTGTTTGTGTGTGCTTCCAATTCACTTAAACATACTTTAAGATACCCCATGAGACTACCCAGATTTTGTCTAGTTGCTTGTTTAATCATAGGTGAGATGATACATTAAAAATATTAGAACTTAGCATTTAAGCTACCCTAATTACAAAATTAAGACAAATTCTTCTAATAATTTCTTTAAAAACTCAGATTTTTTCTAAAATAAAAATCTATTGTCTTGATAACTATTATTTAAAAAAAGAATTATGTAGGTACAGAATTGTTTTGGCAATTGTTCAACAAAATACACCTAGAGAACAGAAATATTCTTTATTTACCCTAATCCAGCCAGTATTGAGATAGTCTATATTAAAAACAAAATGTTTAAAAAAATTACAGCAGTTAGCAAGGCAGTGACTAATTAAGTCACTAAGTTTAATTATATATATTTTCACAGTCATTTGATAATCATGTAATGATGAACAATATTTTCAGACACTTTGGAGATAAATTAATTTTTGCAAAAAGAATTCTACTAGTTGTCACTAAATTTCATGTAAGAGGTTTAAAACACTAATTTATAAAAATTACACAGTAAAGCAAGGTGAAGTAAGTTGAAAAACACAAAATATACCACCCTATCCCCAAAGTCTACAGTGTCCTTTTAATCTGTCTGCTAATGCCTTTTATTTCATTCCCTCTTCTTAGAGAGTGAGCAGACTATTTAGCAATTAAGAATGGCTGCTCTATAGGTGCTATTTCAAGCCTAAAGTGCCTGTTCTTTTAATTTCTCTTACTCATAGAAATATCTTTTGTGGATGAGTATTACTTGCATTCCAGCGAAGAAGAAAACTGTAGCTGAGAGATAAGTCATTCGGCCAAGGTCAGGTTATTAAAAGCAGAATTAGCATTTGAACCAGGTCTCCCAACGTGAGCCAGCTCAGCTCTTGTGTTGCTTCATGAGTGCAGGCCTCCTTGCTGAGGAGAATAGGACCTGGTACTTCTGGAGCTAAAAAGGCTCTTTAGATGCGAGTGCTTAATTCCAGGGCTAGAGGCCCCTCTTGGTCCCCAGGCACCTGCAATTCCCCCCCACAGCCCCAGAAACCCCACTTCTCTGCCCCCAAAAGATTAGTTGTTTCCTCACCCTCACAAGCCCTGATGCCAATAAGTCCAAGCAGCTACTTCCCCATTCTGGACATTAAAGCAGTAAATGGGGAACTGTGTGCTTATTTAACTATAGTAACGGCTGCTTAAAAGCTGTTCTATATAACAAAATTATACAGGAAATATCTAGTGTCTTTTCTCCTTAAAAACAAAAGAAAAGCCAATATATATATAATTATAGTTATGTGATCTAAGTTACTTTTATATAGAATAGATTTTTATTTCCCCTTCAGAACTATAGCAGTGTTCTTAATAAGGTCCACTGTCAGTCAAATATTCCCTTCCTCCCCAAAGAATGACAACTTTAAATGTTCAATAGCCATTCACATCAACATATTATAACTCAAAACATCCATACTATAAAATTCCAATTTTAAATTACTAAAGTTAACATACATTATTGTAGTCTAACATAGCTCAATCTCTATTTGCTACCCTCCTAAAGTGGGGCCACTCATCAGGAAGAGGACATTTATTATCATCATGCATTAGATACTGTAAATAAGAAAATAAATAGGGTTTTTAGAACTTTTAAAAATTGAATTTTAATTAATGAAAATAACTGCAAAACCATTCAGATTGCTGAATAACATTAAAAGGGCCACTATTAAAAATGGCTTAAAATAAATAATTGCTTCTTAAAAATTAATATGAAACTGGATAAAGTGATTATTAAGATACTACTCTTATCAATATGACAAGCAATTAAAATCTAAAAACATCAGTATTGGTTTTTAAAATAATAAATTGTCTTAAGCCAAAACCAATGACCTCAATATTTACTCAAGACTTATTTTCATAGGCATCTCCTCACTGACTGGAGTAACAACAAAGAGCTCCAGGCCTCACGTTGGTGCACCACTGCTGGTTTCCTGTCTGCTGAAATTAGGCTGTAAACTACATAGAACCAAGCCTGACGTGTTCACCATTGTATCCCACAGCACTCAGCCTAGTGCCTGAGCAAACGGGAGGTGATCAGCAAATACCTGAATAACTGAATCAATGAAAGAGAAGAGTAAAATAACTTTATTGAAATTTTTGAAAATTGTTCTCTGTGCTCAAACTACTATAATCCGGCAGCTCTAATTTCTAGAAATATGGATTTAAAAACCTTATCCCGTGATGGAAAAACCTGACACCTCCCTCTCTCTCTCTCTCTCTCTCTCTCTCTCTCTCTCTCTCTCTCTCTCTCTCTCTCTCTCACACACACACACACACACACACACACACACACACACACACAGTAATTAAGACTGCACAAGTCAAAATTACATTGTGAACTATGAGATGTCAACATTATATAAATAATATTTAATAGTGAAAAAGTGATCTGGAAGCCCTGTGAATTTTTATCCTACACGTTTTTGAGGACATCACATGGGTTTAAAAAAAAACAACCAACAAAATCACATTTGTTCAGATAATCATTTAAATGTTTACATACATTTTTGGTTTGTTATTTATAACTAATTTAATTTACATTTCCTCATATTAACAAGTACTCCTGTTTACATGTAATCAAATCATGCCAGTGAGAAAAATCCTCGGTACCTTCATTGAGTCGCCAATTCTACGGAAACGCTGAACATGAACATGTACAAAAGAGGCCTGTGAATAAAACAGCTTGGGCATTTTTCAATATTTGCATAAGTTGATCCTTACATTTTTGACTGAAGAAAATATGAACAAAGCCAGGTTTCCCATGCTACTGTAATGGTTCAGACGACTGCCATAAAAGAAGTACATACAGAATAATGAGAACGAATCACATCCTTAGGTTCCGTGATTACTGAGAGAGTTCTCCGGCCCTAAGTGCTTTCTTTATTATATTCCTTAAAAATACGATAGCAGCAGCTTATCACAAGTCTCCACTACTGTGCATTAATGATGGAATCAAAACAACACAAAAGACTCATAGGGATGAGAGGACTGCAGAACGACAGGAAGTCACAGTTTTATGCTTCTTCTTGCTCTGGATAATTTAGAATTTTGCGGTGTGCCTGACGTAAATATTGCTGCTGTTTGAAGTAAACCTTGAATGCTCCTTTTATGGCAACAAAAGCAATCCCACCCTAAAATAAAAAGGAAAATTAGCTTTTTCTAACACACATTTAGAGAAATAAAAGTAAGTTTACTGAGGTAGCTGCCATTACTATCTTTATTCTATAGGCACAGAGAAGACAAGAAATTTGTTTCTCAGCAAGACAGTGCCTGTGATAGGGTTTGAGCCGGCAGGCTGACAGAGCAGAGGTCCTCACCATAACCTTGCTGCATAGGGACGGCGTGAGGATTCCTGCAGACCCTGGGAGAGAAGTCACCCGCAGCACAGTTCTGGAAGGCCAGCGCTACTGCCGTGACTCTTCCCATTTTACTGCTACAACATGACAGTGAGGATCAAGCTGAGGAGCCCCAGAATATTTATATAGCCTCATTGATTTTTAAAAAATAAGAATATGCAATTCATTCTCTTTTATATAGTCACTTTAAAAAAGTAATATTAAAGCCATCTTACCAAGATTGTCCTTTGTAAATTAGAGTTAACACTACTAAACATCAGTTTACCAACTATAGTCGCAATAGTAGGAAAGACAAGGGCTCCACACAAAATTCGGGTGGCAGAGACATGATCTGCTAAAGGATTAGCCTCAGCTGGAATTCGAGGAACAGGACAGCCAATCCCTAGAGGGGAAAAATGCAGGGTATTAGCTAATAAGTTAGCATAGCGAAAATACCTTTGTATACAGGGATTCTTCCACAAGATTAATTTGGCATGCTTGTTACCAGCACAATTCAGGGCCTTACCTGGAAATATACTGTTCAAAATTTGTAGTTTATTTGAGTATTTGCGCCATAGTCTAAGCACATAATCCTCCCAGCGAATCATCTTGCCTAATATCAGCATGACAGGAATAGTAGGAAGTCCAATTAAAAGGAATAAAGGATCAGCTCTCTCCATAACATCCAGACCTTCTTTATGGCCTACAACCTGTGAAACAGACAGCATTTGCTAGAATCATTTCCTTAGCTAATGAAGGGATGTGGCATGCTCCAGCTCAATTCATTTTAGAAGAAATGCTAAATGTCTACAGAATATAGAAATAAGAAGCTTAAAAATTAGCTGGAAAACTATCAGTCCAGTTTATTTATAAGAATTGTCTCTCATTCAAGGTGGAGGGGGGCACCTCTCAAGTGATTTCATATTACATTAAAACAAGTTTTAAAAATGGTTGACCCTTGCTGAAACTGGTTTGGCTCAATGGATAGAGCATCAGCCTGAGGACTGAAAGGTCCCAGGTTCGATTCTGGTCAAGGGCATGTACTCTGGTTGTGGGCACATCCCCAGTAGGGGGTGTGCAAGAGGCGGCTGATCAATGTTTCTCTCTCATCGATGTTTCTTTCTAACTCTCTATCCCTCTCTCTTTCTTTCTGTAAAAAAATCAAAATATATTTTAAAGAATGGTTGGCCCACATTGATTACATTTGAATGGAGGGAGGGGACTTCTGGTTCTTTTAAAAAAATATATATTTTATTGATTTTTTTATAGAGAGGAAAGAAGAGGAATAGAGAGTTAGAAACATCGATGAGAGAATCATCGATCAGCTGCCTCTTGCACACCCCCTACTGGGGATGTGCCCGCAACCCAGGTACATGCCCTTGACCGGAATCGAACTCGGGACCTTTCAGTCCACAGGATGATGCTCTATCCACTAAGCAAATCTGGTTTCGGTGGACTTCTGGTACTTGCTTCCAGTCCTCTTAATTGATTTGGTTTGCCTGAGCTACTTTAGGCCATACTTGTCTTCTAACAGAGGATCTGTTTTCCTGTTCTTCCCACCAGGAGGTAGGCATAGCCAGGCAAGGGGCAGGACCTGTCTTTAGGAGATAGCCTGAAAACTCACTTCTCTGGCTCTCTCTCCCCATTGGCAATGTCTGGGATAGTGAAATCTCTGTGGTTGGCTAAATGCTTGCTCTCCACATCTAACTCTCCTAAAAATGCAATTCCAAGGTCTAGGTTTGGGGGATGCTGTGAGGAGTTGTGGCTGCAGGTTCGTCATTTTCTCCCATCTAGAACTTTCCAGTGCCTTCTTTATGGGAAATGAAACTAAAACCGTACTTCCCATCTCCCCTGGATCTTCGGGCTATTTCTCAAGTGGTGTAGATGCCAGAGGGCAAGAAGGACATGACTAATTGGCATTTGTGAGTCCATATTTCCCCTCGCAGCAGAATCCTTTCCACCTGCTGATCACTCAGCCTTACACTTCTCTCAACACCAGCACTTAGTTGGCGAGCTTATTTTTAACTAAGTGATTTTCCTGGCAATTCTCTTTCAAAGGTCTCAAATGATGTCCCTTTAGTTAAAAGTTTCAATTGCTCACAAATTAAAAATATTTATGAGGGGTTATTCTTGGCAGTTAATAGTGAAGGAGGGAGACCGCTTCAGAAGCCCACCCAGGTAACACACTGTGAGGCAGCAGCCTGAGAGTAGGACACGACTGTAAAGGACTCCACGTAAGTTTTTCTGATCACATTTGAGGAAGAAAGGACCCTTCCTCAGAAAGGACCCTTATATTTTTTATAGGAATGAGGGAAAAAGAAGGACAGGCAAAGAGGAAAGGAAGTAGGGAAGACTAGAAACTACTCAGAAAAGAAAGCTCATGAGATTTTCTTTAAAAATGACATGCCCTTTATGTCAGCTATTATCGCACCTTTTTTAGGTGGACTACAAGATGTGAAATAAGGTCAAGCTGAGAATGATCAGGCAGGTTGAAATTATTTTATAAGAGTATGTGGAGAGCAGAGACCGGTTTGGCTCAGTGGGTAGAGCGTCGGCCTGCGGACTAAGGGGTCCTGGGTTCGATTCCAGTCAAGGGCATGTACCTTGGTTGTGGGCACATCCCCAGTAGGGGGTGTGTAGGAGGCAGCTGATCGATGTTTCAAACTCTCTATCCCTCTCTCTTCCTCTCTGTAAAAAAATCAATCAATCAATCAATAAAAGAGTATGTGGAGAGAACCAAAATAGGTGCCTTTAAAATTTCAGTCAGGATATAACCCAGACTTGCACTTGGTTAAGTTCTCTAAGATTAATATTAAAGGGCAGGAGGCTAGCCTCTTCAAATTGTCAAAAACCATGGCATCAGTACCTGATACTCTTCAGTGTCTCCGGGTAGAAACTTAGCAACTTCACATCTTTTTAAAAATATATTTTATTGATTTTTTACAGAGAGGAAGTGAGAGGGATAGAGAACCAGAAACATTTATGAGAGAGAAACATCGACTAGCTGCCTCTTGCACCCCCTCTTCTCCCCTCCACTGGAGATGTGCCTGCAACCAATGTACATGCCCTTGAAAGGAATCAAACCTGGGACCCCTCAGCCCACAGACCGAGGCTCTACCCACTGAGCCAGACCAGTTTTGGCGCAACTTCACATCTTGCATGTAAAGGGTGATTGTTTTGAGTTGCTCTAAAATGAAATAGTCTGGCTCACAATATTCATAAACCTAACTCAATACTGGCAGATTAGCCAAGAGATCATCTGTATCTATAATGCTTTTCTAGGACATTCCATTTTTTATATGACTTTATTATTTTCAATATAATGATTGCTTTAAAGTTATAACTGAATGTGATTTAAATACTCTCAAAGAATTAGCAAACACATTTGAAAATTCATTTGCTGGGTTATGTATTCTGTTTAGAATTTGGGGTTTGGAATACAAAGCAACTTAACAAAAGGAATAAAAACAATCCAATCAAAAAATGGGCAAAGGACCTAAATTCTAGTAGACACTTTTCTAAAGAGGACATACAGAAAGCCAAGAGGCATATGAAAACATGCTCAAAGTCATTAATCATCCGAGAGATGCAAATCAAAACAACAATGAGGTACCACCTCACACCTGTAAACAAGGAATAATTGATAGTATATATGACACAATTCTGTTGCAAAGATTAAATGCATCAGTGCTTGAAAGGTCTTCAGTCTATAGTCTTTTCAATAAAAATGTAAGTGAAATTCCTATTTAAGTTCCTCACACTTAACAGAAATTGAAACTATGACTTGTTCATGAAAAAATGGGAATATCTCCAAAATGGATATACAGAAGGCCAAAAGTCATGAAAAAATGCTCAAAGTCACTAACCATCTGAGAGATGCAAATCAAAATGACAATGAGATACCACCTTATACCTGTTAGAACGGCTATCATCAACAAATCAACAAACGACAAGTGCTGGCGAGGGTGTGAAGAAAAGGGAACCCTGGTACATTACTGGTGGGGATGCAAACAAGTGCAGCCTCTGTGGAAAACGATTGGAGTTTCCTCAAAAAATTAAAAATGGAACTACCATTTGACCCAGTGATCCCACTTCTAGGAATCTATCCCAAGAATTCAGAAACACCTAACAGAAAGAATATATACACTCCTATGTTCATAGCAATGCAATTTACAATTGCTAGGATTTGAAAATGGCCTAAGTACAGTTCATCAATACTGAAAGGCTAAGAGTTTTAGCAGATGAGTGGATTAAAAAACAACGGTACATCTACACAGTGAAATACTATGCAGCTGTAAAAACAAAACAAAAAACCCTTACCATTTGTACATGAATGGACCTAGAGAGCATTATGCTAAGAAAAATAAGCCAGTCAGAGAAAGTATCACATGATCTCATCCATCTGTGGAATCTAATGAACAACATAAACTGAAGAACAAAAATAGACCTAGAGACCTAGAAACAGTTTGAACAGACTGTCAAACCTCAGGGGAAAGAAGGCAGGCATGGTGGAAGGTGGGGAGTGGGGAGATCAACCAATGAGCTCATATGTGTATATGCATAACCCACAGTCATAAACAAGAGGGTGGAGAAGGCTTGGAGGGACGGGTTGAGAGGGCAATGAGGGAAAAAAGTAATACTTTCAACAATAAAGAGAATAGTTGTGATTCCTTAATCTGATTTACCTCATAGTAATAAGAGAACAAAAGGAAAAGTAACAGCAAAGTGTTAAAGAGAAAACCCTAAATACTGCTGATGGCCCATTCCCTAACAAATATGCTCAGGGAGGTAAAAGTCTTCCTAATGCTCTTCAGTAACACACAGTACTACCTACTGTCCACGATCTATCTCATTTCTGAGCTTAAAAAAAATAAATCCTTTCATGCAAGATAGTACATGTAAAGATTATTTCTAAATGATAACACCTAATATATAAACGTATTATCATAATTTCAAGATTTTTTTTTACTGTCACAATTAGCCACCATGTTCATTTTAATCTCTGTACTTGTATCATTTCTTTCCTCTACCAATCCAAATTATTTCCTTCAAGTGTCAGCTCAAGACTTACCTTTTTCATAACTTCAAATGATTTTTCACTTCACTGAATACAAGACTGCTTATATAGTCTTCTATGTTCATCACAATTATTTATGGAACCTTATAACTTCTCCAGTTATTTATTTTGTCCATCTTATCTTAGACTACGTTCCTTGAGGCTGGGGATCAGGGCTTTCTATTTGTTTTATATTTTATGGAGACTTCCAGTCAGTGTTAACTTTTTGACTGAATCATACCAATATTGTTCAAAATATCATGATACAACTGGTAGCCCTTTCTGGAGGATGCAAACTATATTCCTTAATTGACTTGTGTTGTTGTAGTGTCTCATTAATTATAAAAAATCTTTGAAGATTGAGTTAAAGTCGTTTTCTCAAAAAGAGCCATCCCATTTCTTACAGTCATTTAGGTCTTAAGAGAAATCAGTCTCAGAGTGCCTAGATTCCTCTTCTGTAACAAATATACACCTGTAATGTATTTGTACATTAAATAATGTAAAATCTGCTCTAAGTTCTCTGTCCTAGAATTGTCCTGAACTTCCTTGACCTAATGATGTACCGATAATCATTAGAAACGAATTATTGCTTAGAAAATAATCCTGTTACACCTGATAGAACTGATCATATAAAAAAAAAATCAATATTCACAAAAACATTAAAATGTTAACTCTCTGTTATATGCTACATAGGAATGCATGAGTGTAAGATAGTTTCTACTTTTAAGCAAATTATCTTCTAAAAGGAAAAGTAAGGCCTGAATATAGGAAAAGTTAAATAATTTAGGTAATCTATATAAGAAATATATAAATTTTATGTAGGTCAGCATAAGATTAGCTGCCATTTGAGGGGGGGAAAATGTCACCAATGCAGAGGAAGAAGAAACCACAGTAGGCAAGTTTCATGGAGGAAAAGTGGGTAAACTAAGCCTGAAAGGAGGGTTTAGAGTTGGATTAGTAGAGAGGGAACTGGAAGCACAGGTATGAGGCAGGGACATAAGCCAAAGGACAGAGATAAAAACATCTAAACAAAATAAGGATAGGCTGGGAAGAGACAATCCAACAGGCTCTCAAAAGAGCATGAAGTAAGACTATGGAGGATTCTATATAACAAAGCAGGTTAAGAAAACGGGATCTTTTCAAATCAGTGGTTCTCTATCTTTATTTACCACACTCACCACAAATGACATCTTACTATCTGTGATTCATTCCAGTAACTACATCCAGATTTTTGGTTGTTATCAAGATTTTATGAAGAAGCCTTGTAATACTGTTTCACAATGGCTATTGATGGAGCAACCAGAAAGGCTGCTTACTATGGACCCTGACATAGATCAGTTATGTGCAATTTTTAGAATATTACATATATACATTAAGTCCTCACTTTAATGGTGTCAACAGGATTTGTAACTATATATACATATATACTGATTTTTTACAGAGAGGAAGGGAGAGGGACAGAGAGTTAGAAACATCGATGAGAGAGAAACATTGATCAGCTGCCTCTGCATACTCTCCACGAGGTACATGCCCTCAACCAGAAAAGAATACAGGACCTATCAGTTCATGGCCTGACGCTCTATCCACTGAGTCAAACGAGTCAGTGCAGGATCTGTAACTTTTGAAAAAGTTTATTTTTATTGATTTCAGAGAGGAAGGAAGAGGGAGAGACGGACAGAAACATCAATGAGAGAGAATCATCTATCGGCTGCCTACTGCACGTCCCCTACTGGGGATCAAGTCCACAACCCAGTCATTTACCCTTGACCAGAATTGAACCTGGGACCCTTCAGTCTGCAGGCCCACGCTCTATCCACTGAGCCAAACCAGCTAGGGCAGGTTTTGTGACTTTTAACTGAAATGATGAATAATGAAACTAACTTGACCATAGGCTAATTGATTTAAACAAGAGTGAAATTCCTACAGTATCTTATCAACATAACAAAACGTTGTTGAATGAAACATTATTTGAGGACTTACTTTAACTTGGTTTTCTTCCATGCACTAATTCATATGAAAGAAAAGCAAATTATAGCATTTATAAACATAAGTGGGTTTACTGGGTTACTAGATTGTAAATGCTTAACCAATCTAGGTGCTACTTTTGAGCAGTACTTAAGGCAGAAGAGATGGTAAGCTTGAAATAAGATGTTGAAAGTATTATTTTAGGAAGATTCATTTAAAGGGATAGATTGATAGAAGAAGAAAATAAAACCAATTAAGAGGCTCTTTTAGCTATCCAGGTTATGATGGGAGAATGACAAGAAATTATGAGGTAAAAACTGTGGAAAGGAAACCACAGATATAAGACATCAAAATGAAAACTGATTGGACTTGGTCAGTGGACTGCATATAGGGAGGGCTATGCAGTAGAAAGTTAAAGGCTAAGAATGTAGGCTATAAATTGAGTAGGTAAAAAAATAATAGGAATTAAAAGTATAGATAAATTATAATAGGGACTAAGTTTAGGTTTTAAATTGAGAAAAGACAAGTTTGATTTCATAATATTGAGTGTGAAGCCATAAGAAGTCCTTTTAAAGGAGAAGGATGATGCTGCTATTGTAGAAATGGATACGAGGAAAGATTAGGGCAAAAGACATAGATCAGAACACAAAAAAACAGAGATGATAGCTGAAAATATCTAAGGACGAGGTATATAATGAAGAGTCAAGGGCCTGGGATTAAACCTTAAACCTTAAAATATGTCTTTAATCTTCATCAAAAATTACTGGAAGCAAAAAAAAAAAAATAAATAAAAAAAAAATAAATAAAAACAACAAAAAGAGTTACTGGAAGCAACAAATTTTCTAATCAACAAGACACTGGTTATAAATTGTGGCAATTCTGGATATTAAACAACTTTTTATATACTTTCTTATTTTCAGATCACAAGAAAGTTATTATTTGTTCAAAATAAATTTTAAAACTCCTTGCCCTGGCTGGTGTTGCTCAGTGGTTGAGCATTAATCTATGAAGCAGAAGATCATGGTTCGACTGCCAGTCAGGGCACATGACCAGGTTTGGGGCTAGATCCCCAATAGGGGGCTATAGAAGGCAGCCAATCAATTATTCTCTCTCATTGATGTTTCTCTATCCCCTCCCTTCCTCTATGAGTGAAAAAAAAAAAAAAAAAAAAAGGTAATGTAATTGAATTAAGTAAAGTAGTGAACCTGCATTACTGTCACTGCTCCGTAAGTCACAGCTGTCCAATAGATAGAGCCAACCATGATTCCCGCTGCAGCAAATGGACAGGCTTTTGAGATCAATCTGTCTGCAAGGTCCAAGACGTACACAACTGGACCTATGATACAAAGAAAACAAAGTTTCAACACAGAACAGATTTTAAAAAAATACTTTTTCAATATTTCCCATAAATCTGATGGTTGTTCTGATGCTTTAGAAATAACGTATAAATGTGATGGAAATCCAGATTTGAATAGATTTAGAATTTCTCAGTCATTTGCATGAAATGTTACCTCCTGAATTTAAATATAGCCCCTTTCAACCTTTTCTTCAGCAGCAACCTGTGATTAAAGCCTCATAGTTGCTGCTTATAAAAGTAGTTCTCTCACTTCTCTTAATTACATTGGCTACTACAGAATGAAATAGCTGTTTCAGCTTACCGTTCCCAAACAGTTCTTGGCCACAACTAGATTCTCTAGTATTTGGTTAAGAGTATCACTTCTTTGACTTCACTCATTACTTCCTTGATAAAGCCAGTGAAAGTAACCAAGGCTATTTTCTTGTAGTTATACAAAGTCAACTATCTTACTTTGATTTTCAATATGCTAGAATTAGTTAAGTATCATTCTCTAACAACTTCAATTATCATAACACTAGTTTTTATGGCATTTTAACAGCTGTGTGTGCCAATTATGCTTCTATTATTATGTGCTGAACTGTGAAATTTGACTACTACCTCCCTCTGGAATTTATTTGGGATAGCTACATTTGGAGGTATTCTAATTAACAACCATTTAGCCCAATAACATAATTTAGCTCCAGAATTTTCCAGAGCAGTGGGTTTAGTCCTGAATTGGAGCAATGCCTACAGTTAGAACTGAGTATCTAAGTTTAATAAAAGATATGAAACCTTGATTCAGTAATCACAATACTTACTGAATACCATCTACATACAACCTATCAGTCATTTTCTTGGAAATTTACAAGTGTTATTACCTACCTTCTGGGAACTTACAATCTATAGGAGGATACTATACACAAAAATAAGTTGCATTGTACAAAAAAATTAACATAGCAATATGATAAAATAATGAACGTGTAAGAACAAGCATTCATCTTTAGAGCCTCTGATCAATACCTCTTCCTGATCACTGGAGCCAATATCACTAAGTTACAAAGAGAGACCACACTATGAAGTAGAAGGAACATTTGGAGAGATGCCAAAGAATCTATTGATTTAAATTTAGCATATTTATTTTACTGTTGTCAAAGTCTAACATTTAAAATTATAAATTTATCTTTTGGGACCAAATAGATAAAGCAAGCCTAGTTTAGTGCATTCAGTGCAAATGAATTCTACGTCCTCTAATCATAGTTATCATTTCTTGAGTGTCTACATGATACCGAGTGGGTGCCACAGGTATTACAAGCATCATTATTTAATCTCATAATGTAAGGTTTAATCCTTAAAATATGCAAATTTGCTGGGTTAAGTTTAAAACTCCATCAAAAGGCACAAGTCATTTTAGCTCTGGCCACTGTGGCTCAGTTGGTTGGGTATCATCCCGTGTACCAAAAGGTTGCTGCTTTGATTCCCAGATAGGGCAGATGCCCAGGTTTCCTGTTTGATTCCCATGCAAGTGGCAGCCAATAGATGCTCTGCTCTCAAATCGATGTTTCTCTCTCCCTCTCAAAAAAAAAAAAAAAAAAGTTTTTTTTTAAGTTATTTTAGTGAGTCAAAGATCCCTCAAATGCTGGTATTAAAAATTAAAAACAATACTTCAACTTTCATATTCTTTACTGATAATTTTTTAAAACAGAAAACTAAAGCCATATGAGAACATTAGACGCTTCAGCACATGTACTCATCTACCAGATCCCATCCTCTCTCCAACTCAAAGCCACAGCTCCGTCAATTCTCTCCTTTCCCATATCATTTCCCCCTACTATTTGCCGGATGATTTCCAAACAAGTATGTCATTATTTCTTCTATCTTAAAGAAACTCTTCACTTGATCCTTTTCCCCCCACTGCTCCATTTACAACAAAATCTTCAAAAGACTTACTCTGTTTTCACTTATTCAATTCTTTCTTGAACCTGCTTACCAAGATTGTTCGTCAAGGTCACGAATAAACTATGCATAGCTAACTCCAGTCTCAGCTTTTTTCTTATTCAGCCTGTCAGCAACAGCTGACAGACATTCCCTTCTTCCTCCTACCAAATGTTTCTTCACTGCATTTCCGGGGCATCCCATCTCTTGGTTTTCTTTCCATCTTACCCAGTCACAAACGTTTTAGTCTCCTTTACTGATTCTTCTTGATCTCAGTGAAGCCCACCCACCCCGCCAACGTACACCTCACTGTACTACCGTTTCCCCGAAAATAAGGCAGTGTCTTATATTATTTTTTTCTCCCAAAGTTGTGCTAGGTCTTACTTTCAGGGGATGTCTTATCTTTCCATGCGCTAGGTATTATTTTCGGAGGATGTCTTATTTTTGGGGAAACACGGTATTTGATTACTCTGCTCTAGATTTCTTTTCCCAAAGCACTTACCACTAATTAATATATTCTAATGTACTTAACTGTTTCCACATATTACAACAGGGGCTGGAACCTATGTTATGTTATTATTTTAAAAAATATATTTTATTGATTTTTTACAGAAAGGAAGAGAGAAAGATAGTTAGAAATATCGATGAGAGAGAACCATCGATCAGCTGCCTTCTGCACACCCCTTACTGGGGATGTGCCTGCAATCAAGGTACATGCCCTTGACCGGAATCGAGCCTAGGACCTTTCAGTCTGCAGGCCAATGCTCTATCCACTGAGCCAAACCAGTTAGGGCTGGCTGTTTATTTTTATAAAGTTTTATTGGAGCATGTCTGTATATGTATGTATATTTTTTTTAACTGAAAAAAAAAAAAAAAGTTTACCAAAATAAAAAAGTTCACAAAAGCTCAAAAAAGAAAATCTTAGATCTTCCTTTTTCATTATTCTGTATAGAGACCATTACAAAACTATTTCCTACCAGTCAGAATCAGAATTTATTTGGAAAGAGGTTTTTACATGCTTCCAATGTAACTTCTTTCCTTCCTCTTTTTTAACAGTATACTTGGAATTATCTACTGATGTAATAAAGCAATTTAATCCCGAAAAAACAATCAACCATTTGGACAAAATATAATTCTAAAAAGTAATCCATCACCACCACATTTATCTATCATGAACACAATTTAGAGATGTTTGAATATCTTTCCTTTAATGATTTCAGGTTCTAACAAAATTAGCTCAATTTTCTTGCTGAATCATTAGGTGTGGATTCTTTTTGCATTCACAAAACAAATAAAATCTTCACTCTTCACTTTAGAAAATTTCTACTCACCCTTTGGTTCATAAGCAAAAGATATGCTGAATTAAATGAAATCACTGGCTGCATTTTATGGCCCCTAATTAGTTTTTCTGACAAAACTCTGTCTAGGCTTTGTCTTAAGTTTATTTTGCCTAAACTTCTCAAGGCTCTTCCAGATAGAGTAGTCCAAGATTAGTTCAATAATTAAAAGAAAGATTAAATGTCTAATGGTAAGTGTACCATTAGAATAATAAGCTGCCCCAGAAGAGCTATTTCTGAGAATTTAAGATAATCTAAGCAAACTATTTGGTGAATAACAACAATCACTGAAGTACTCTGCATGACTCTCCCTAAAATCATACCGTTCCTATTGGGAGGCTTATCATGTGCTACTACCCCATGACTTGGGATCACAAAAGAAAATAGTAATAGCAACTAGATTCTTATTGTCATATTACAACAAAGAGTTATTAGAAGTAAGGTGAGGCATGACTCCAGCCCTTAAAAACCTTAATTCTAATGGAGAGGGAAAAGTATGAATACATATACTTTATAAATTAAATATGTGAGGGCATAAAAAGGGTTCAATATTTTAAAAAGGCACACTGAATTTTTAATGCCTTAGTGGGCTTCACTATTTATGTTTTCAATAGTAGTGTAGTTACACATGGATGACAATTAAAAGGAAATCCATTGTGAATTCTTGCATACAATAAAAAAGCCTTTGGCCTGGCTTGGTGGTTTAGTTGGTTGGAGTGTTGTCCCATGAACCAACAGGTTGTAGATTTTTGGTCAGGGTGTGTATGGGAGGCAACCGATTAATGTTTCTCTCTAAAATCAATTGAACAACATATCCTCAGGTGAGAATTAAAAAGAAAACTTTTATAAAGAAAATAACTACACTAATATTTGGATAAATTCAAATTTTCACATTCAGATTTGAATGACATCAAATAGTGAGCTGAGAACTACTGAGGAAACTCCTAAGTCCATGTCTACTGAAAAAGGAGTAGTGAGTTTTATTGGACGGATACTATGAACATAGATTTGCTACAACTGCAATTTTAATTCAAGTCTAAAGGTATGAATGGTGTTAATATCTTGGAAGATACAAAATTAATGAATGAAGGGCAAGCAATACTTAGTATTCAACATCTGCTGGCACTACTTACAATAATACCCAGAATTCCTAGAACCTTTTTCAAGGATAGATACCCTGACCAATTCCTGAAAAATAATTTGTTATGAATGCTATAATTTCTAATACAGAACATAATTTAATGAGCATTTTTAGCTAATTCATAAGGTAATTTAAAAGATTATAGCTCCCATGAACTCCAAGGTTTCTATTAAGTGGCCAATGATTTAAAGAGAATTAACAAACAAAAAGCTATTTCAGTTTTCAGGTTTTTATTGTGTTGTTTTTTTCTTTTGCATTGAACTGTTTTGCCCGGACCCAACTTAAATGCCAACTTGCTAAGTCAAAACATCAGCCCCACTTTCAGATTCAGAACCATCCAGAACTGCAAGTTTTGGAGGCCACCAAAAGTCCAACAATATAGGTTTAAACTTCTCTTCTTGCTTCAAGTCTTCTTTTTGTTGCATTCTGTTTCTGGAATGTCCTGTCTCTATTTTGATTAAGTTTGTATGAAAACCCAACTACTGCCAGAACCAGTTTGGCTCAGTGGATAGAGTGTAAGCCTGCGGACTGAAGGGTCCCAGGTTCGATTCTGGTCAAGGGCATGTACCTTGGTTGCGGGCACATCCCTG